AGTTGATACAATATAATAAATTAATAAATAAAAAAAATTTTCTCTAAAAAACAAGTAAAAGTAAAGGCATTGATTAATATACAAATTTTTCATGGTAAGAAACAACTTAAAATGCACTAAATAAAAATATTTTATAAACACAGCACACAATACCACTTTGAAGTAGAATTTTAATTGACTCCAAAGAGTGGCCTTTCAGTCCAACAAACTGTTTCGCGTTTGCACGTTGACTCAAAAATAGCGACAGACAATTGGCATTGAAAAAAACAAAAAAATAAAAAATAAAAGATAACTAAGAATAACGATTTATTCTTGAGCAAAACCTTCCGTTTCTTCGATCGCGTAGGTGAGTTTTTCCACCATTTGGTCATAACTCTTGTAGGGTGGCAAGTCTAGCCGGTTGAAGCACGTGTGTGAACGCGGCAGCCACGTATCCTTGCCGACCTTTTCAATGCAAAACCTCTGGGGGCCGTTACTCCCTGTTGTTTTAGAGAAATTGAAATTGAAATCGTGGCGATAGTGAAATTTTATTATATAACTGACTATGGCGTCAGATGATGATACGGTGTTGCTTGGAGTAAGGGGTGATGATATAAAAAAATTAAATTTTATTTTTATTTATTAACTTGGTGATAATCTAATGACGTCATAGCAGACGAGAAGTTTCCAGATATTATGTAAATAATAAAATAATAAAAATAGCATGTTTATAATTGACGTTATATTATGATGGAAAAGTGATTAATGATCGATAAATAAAAAAAAAAAACTCACCCATGAGCTCTGCAAATCCACCAACAGGAACTCTGCAAGTTCCAGTAACAAACTGTAACAGCCTTGCTCGTTTTTCATTATCTGCGGCACGTACGAACTAAAATATTAAATTTTAGCAACCATATTTAATAAAAAGAGGGGCTCTGTAATGTTACGTTATCTGCAAATCTTAACGCACCTGCCAAAACCATACAACTTGTTTGCTATTACGAGTATAATGCCTGTAAATAGTATTTCTCTGCCAATCGTCTACATCGATTTCCTGCATACCACACAACATAAGCTCAAGTTCTCTTTCGTCAAAATACTTCAGCCACTCTAGTGGAACGACAGAATTGAATCCTTCTAAAAATGCTTTGGTTTGTTCTTCAATGCCTCTTGTCATTCGCCACTCCGTCATTAACCTGTTGAGGATTTTTATTTTTATTTTTCAAGACTGTTTGTATGATTCATTTCGTTGAACAAACATAAGTCAACTGCATTATGTACCTAATATATTCTTCCTTATTTTCTTCAACAACTTTAATTTTGTCGCCACCTTCTTTCAGCTCATGGTGTATTACTTGACCAAGAATCTCAAAGTCAACGCTGTAATATAGTTCGAGACCACATTCGTCAATGTTATTATCTTTTATCCAAACGAGCGACTTGTAAAATTCGGGATCAATAGATTCGATATCCTTCATTATTAATTTTTTGTTTAGCATGCGTTTATAAAAAGGCATTGTGAATCCACTATAAATGAATCTTCCGTGGTACAGGGCCTGAAAATGTATTAAATTGTTTGCAATCATAACTTCAGCATTTTTAAGAAGACTGACAGTAACGTGTGAAAGTACTAACCATTGCGATAAATCTTCCAATAAATTTAAAATAGTTCAAGTGATCTGGATTAACATACGACGCAGGATTTATTTGTAAACTGTAATTGCTTTTATTTGCGTACTCAAAAAGACAATACATCGGATTGAGAACTTCGTGGCTTAGGAGGAAAAACCACTCTCTGTAACGAAGATAATCCATTAATAATTAAATTGTATTCGTTTAATTTGAATATTTAATAAGCATGAAAAACTTGCCTTGATACACCACCATAATCCAAACCTTCTTCTCCTTTGAAAATTATGTACAGTCTGCGTCTGAGAGCGAAAGCCTCGGCATTCATTATTTGGTGATAGGAATCTTCAAAGAGCGTTTGCCGGCTAACAGTAATTTTGATATGATTTGGCAGAGCATTTGTCTGACACAAGAAACGAAATTGTGACAGCTTCCAACGAAACGACCGCTCGTACGCTCTGGGTACTCTACACATTCCTTTGGGCCTGAAATACGAATTATGATTACACTGAACTTGGAAATATGGTTACAGTAAGTTTGCAAAAGTGAAAAAAAAAGCAATTTGTACCCTTTTGGAGCACCTGGCCTCGGGTCTTGAAACGTTGTTGTCCGTGTATTGTGGTCGACAAAATACCGCACGCCGTCCTCGGTCAACCTAATTTCCCATCCATCAGGCAGGGGTGGTTCATCCATTGTCTCTTGACCCTGCGTTCGAGGATCTTCCCATTGAGTAGTGCGATTCCGATGGTTCACGTAATAAACGCGGCCTTCTGGGTGCACTCTTCTTTCCCAGTCAGGTGGCAAAGGACCCAATCCATCATCTTCCTCGGCCGTTGATGTTGACGGACCGGACATTACGGCTTGATGGGGCTGCAACAATGCCATTTTCTTAGTTATATAATGCGTAAAATAATAGTCGCAGAGAAATAATGAAAACAAAAATGACCAAGTACCTGTGGATAGAGGAACCTCTGGTTGCCCTGCTGAATAACATACTGCCTTTCCCCTTGCCACTGTTGGAAATGTTGCAATCTTTCTGTGTTTGGTCTTTGCCAGGTGGTGCTTCGAGTATTATGGTCCACGTAGTATATTCGCCCTCGAGCATCTCGACGCACCTCCCAGCCTAGTGGCAGGGGTTGCGGTCGTTCCCAGGATGTGCTACGAGTGTTGTGATCGACATAATACCTCCTACCATAAACATCATATCGCATCTCCCAACCAGCGGGCAAGGGCTCCTCTGGCTGCATGTTATTCATCTGTTCGGGCGTTACAGGTGGACAGGGCTGCATGGCGCTCAGATGAGCCAAATGTGAGTAATTCGGTTGTTCAGACAAAGTGACACCAGGTGCCACACTTGCGTAACTGCTAGTTGTACCGGTAGGGGAAAAAGGCGTGTAAACAGCGACGGTTCTACAGTTATTGGCTTCGGTACCATTGTCTGCCGTTGACTGGACGCCATTACTGCTGCACTCCTGTGTTGTGGATGAGTTGCAATGCATCAGTGGCTGATGATGCGATGAAGGTGATGCCGTTAACGAGGACATCGGTGCCGTGTTTTCAGCACCTTGGGATCGCATGCGAGCGCGCACGCCACCACTTAGAATGCTGTGATTGTTCACACCATCGCTGTTCATCGCCCCTATGAGCGTTTATGTTTTCGATATTAATTATACTGTTTCAAGAAAATTATAGTACTGTAAAGAAATTTCTTTCTAGCTTACCTAAGGGTACCGTAATTGTGTTATTGGCTGGTGGCAGTACCATTTGTCTGACATTGTTTGGTGTTGCATGTTCTGGTCTCGGTATGCTTGGCGGAGCAACCGTTTTCATATCAACTTTGAGTCTATCAAACACAGTGATTAAATCACCAACTTTGGCGTGCGCCCAATCATGTTTGCTGCCAGATAACAGATCCAGAGTAAGCTCCAAGTTTTCCAACTTGCCATTATAATGAGCAAGGATATTGTAGAGGTTGATCTTTTTTTCTCCGATCAAAGTATCTTTACGAAACGAGCTGTGGTCCAAAAGACGAAAGTGCAACTGAGAGTATGGAGTTACCAATACCGTGAATTCTTCATTCCATTTTGGCAGTAACGTTGACTTAGTTACTTCTGTTTTTCTTGGAGATTTGTCATCAACCAAAAACTCGACATAAGGATTTGGTTTCAAGAAAGATGAATTTTTTAAAGCTGCTGCCTCAACTGTAAAAAAAAGATTCAATTTTTTTCAAAGATTTTATATTATTTTCCTTATTAATTACGGGTTGATTCTTAATAAAAAAAAAAACTTTTCGATACTAAACAGAAATTGTCACTCCAATTTTATAGCAGTGTGCAATACATACATCACTATATTAAAATTAGATATTACTTTCATTGTATTTAAAAAAATGTGATGTAATAAATCAATTAGTTGAGTGATACGACTATACTACAAATGAATAATTTCAAGCACATTAATTATTAAATAAAAATTGTGTGCATGAATTATGAAACGAACATAGACTGTGAAATTTACTTTACAGTAAATGTGGCTTTTAAAAAATACTGTTAAAAGTAATAGTATGGTCAGAAACTTGAACCAACAAAAATTTCCAACCAAATCTAATTAAGTTATTTTTATCTTAAGTCATACAACCAATAGAATTTTATTTGCAATTTAAACTAACCGAATTAACAAACTTATTTAGATAGCTCTTTAAAAGAAAAAAAAAAATAATAATAAATAACCATACATAACATATTGTTTATTCTTTATAATTGCTTACAATATTTTGAAAAATGTCTAGATTTCAAATGCATAAATTTAATACAACGACAAAGTTCTATCATCAAGAAATAAAAATTTTTAAATACAGCAAAAAAAATGGTACAAGCTTACTTGTGATGCTGAGCTGATGGAAGCCTATTGCAGCTGACTCCTCTTCACAATTGGACATTGTAAAATTGTGTTGGCTAGGCAATTGCTGCACTGAGCTTCCTTGCTAAACTCTTCAGCTTATAACATTTTTGTCCTTGCAATTTGCTGCACCACTACCTGAAATACACACCCAAGAATTTTATCACTTATCAACTCATCTGCTGGCTGCATTTCAATTACATTCCCAAAGAACGACACACACACAAATACATACATCCATCTTATTATTATCAATAAATTATCATATGAGAGACACACAAACACTCAGCAATGAAAAATGACGCCCCTATAGTCCATCGAATACGACAAAACGCACAGTAGTCTCGCGTACATAACACACATAACGGAGCGATTGACCGCAATTTACAATTCACTTTGCCGTTTGCTATTTCTCCTTTTTTTTTTTTTTGTTCCCTCTCTCTCTTCCTTGCTTTTCAGACGGACTCCTCTCTTGCCCTTCCTATGCCCACCACGGCATTCAACGATTCAACACATCGAATTATCATTTGGTTCGATTAATTTAAGCGTATCCAGCTCATGCGATATCAAGAGCTGAGAGGACTAGGGATAAAAGAAGAAAAAAAACAAAGCGCTCTGAAACTCCGATTCGAGGTGAAAAATAAACGTTTGCGATGAAGAAAAATGACATGTTATCATCACACGAAGATTGTATGCACACACAATGAAATAAATTGACACACGTACAGTAACCATAAGCCTTGTTCGTCAACATTACACTGCTCCTAAATAAATATTAACTATATACACCGCGCCGTAATAATAAAGAAAAACACAAAGTAAGTAAATGGACAACATAACACAACACCACTTACTACAACCATGTAAAACAATTGCACACGAGATAACACAAAATAACCACAAGCTCACAACGTTTATAGCCTGTATCTATATACACAAGCGAATTCGACAAGTAGATAATAATAGGCTGGCTCGCTCTTCCTTCCTCCTCCCACGCTCGCCTATACTGTACTCTTGCACCACATACGCAATTACAAGGAATGAACAGATGGTGAAAAAAATCCTATTTATTCTTTACTACTTAATACACATCCATCCAGGGAGTTCTCTTGGTGTGATGACAAATTCAGCCCGCATCATTCATTCTCTTGTCGATGCTTAATGAAAACACTAACATGTTATACCTACTCACTCTGTTGTATACTTATATTAGCGCTGAGAAAAATTTCCAACGAAAGTCTTCAACATATAACCGTAAACGTAATTTCACTTATGCATCCAATCCAAAGTTTACAAATTGTTATAAGATGAAACACTAACCATCAGATAAAAATAATAGTAACACGTATAAATAATAATGACCGAAAACAACAATTACGTCAACAACACGACTACACTGAGCAGTGCAGACGGCTACTGCCCTAATGATGATGGCTTAACCGCTGTATGTGTATATATACATAAATACTTTTAAAAAATGTCGTGACGTCGCGTATTCGACGCCTTTTTTTATTTGCTTTTGTTCCTTTCCTTGTATTTAATTTAACACGAGTACCTGAAACGAATTAAAGAATTAATGCTTTTAATTTCGCTCGTTTTGTTTAGGTCGCGCGCATTATGTTTTAATTTTTTTTCGTTGACTTATTTGATGTAAGACGAACTATAGGTGATTACTTTTACAATAGTTGATAAGGTAGATTTGAAACTTACCTTTCTTACAACTCTCTGGGAGTCGGGGCAATAATGCACGTGGATTGTCAAAAAATGCATGCGACGCATCGTCTGTTGTGATTTTTTTTTCTCCAATTGTTGACCGCAGGTGTTAGCTAACTAAAATAAAAATGAGCAGTGAATCAAAAGTCGAATACCTCATTGTCGATACAAGTGCGTTTATCAAAAATGCAGCCTTGCAGGTAATTGTTTTCAACATAAGAAAAACTGTTTTTTGTCATGGCTCCAGTTATACAAAAAAATTATAACTATTAGTTGACGTTCTATTATTTTAACAGCGTAATAATTCAAAACATTTTTAGGACATTGGTAATAAAATTATCACCGAACCCGGTGTCGTCAGTGAAATAAAAAGCAAAAGACAGCTCAGGAGATTGGTAGTGCTTCCATATGATCTGGAGGTTAAAGAAGCTTCCCCAGAAGACATTAAATTTGGTAATTATGGTTTTTTTTTTGATAATTAATATCATTACTCGTGTTTAATTTTATTCTTTCAGTAACTGCGTTTTCCAAAAAAACTGGCGATTATCCAAGTCTCTCTGCAACTGATATCAAAGTTATTGCTCTTACATACCGGTATGAAAAAGAAAGAGTTGGCTCAGATCACTTGAGAAAAGAGCCCCTGGTGAACAAAGAAATCGTTGATAGTAGTATTAAAAAGCCTGAAGATCATAATCAGCTGTTAGGATTTTATATGCCAGATAAAGATGTAAGTGTAGCTAGCTTGATTAATTTAATAAATACTCCAAGGTAATTTTATAACATTTGAAACTGATTCACAGGGAGATGATCAAGAAAATGATTGTGAAGAGAGCGATGAAGAAACATCTGAAAGTGAAGACAAAGAGAAAGTATGTGAAAACAAAACTGAAAAGTTAAATCCCGATAAAGCCAGAAGAAATGTAATGAATATTGAAATGAAAAAAAATGAAGAATCCAATGTGGAAAGTGACGAATTAGTAACTGCCAGTGACATGACTGACGAAAGCTGTGGAACATCTGATAATGAAGAGTATGATACAGCTCCATCCGATGAAGAAAATAAAAAAATTGACGATTTGAGTGAGAAATTTCGTAAACTTGACTGTGATCCAGAAGGTTTGAAATTAGAGTGTGAAAATGACTTTACAATTGATGACATCCTCAAAGCTATTAAAGATGACACCAATAAAGTAGATGAAGGAATTCATGATTCAGAAAGTGAAAATGAAGATGACGAAGAAGAAGAAGAAGATTACGATGAAGACAGTGATGATAATAGTGAATGGATCACTCCAAGTTAGTATCGCGAGTGAATGTATTTTTTTTTTTTTTTTTTTTTACTTAACTTAAATTAATTTTAATTTTTCAGGGAATCTGAAAGATGTAAGAAAAAAGATGGATTCTGGTGTTATCAAAGAAAAGCCAGCCACTGTAGCATGTTTGACGATGGATTATGCTATGCAAAACGTTTTAATGCAAATAGGACTTAATGTGGCATCATTAGAGGGCAAAGTTATCAAACAAATGCGAACTTTCATTTTACGTTGTTACTTATGTTTCAAAACAACTGGCATTGCTACAAAAGTTTTTTGTCCCAAATGTGGAAACAAGTCGTTGAAAAAAGTTGCTGTTTCCTTAAATGACGAAGGGAAGCAGATAATTCACATCAACTTTAAAAAACCATTATCATCCCGAGGCAAAAAGGTAATCTATTTATAAATATAGAAAAAAAAAATTAATTTGTCTTATCAAAAAAACTTGCATAAATTTTGCATTTCAGTTTTCACTTCCAACGTTCAAAGGTGGTAAACATGCCTGCAATCCAATACTTTCGGAGGATCAGCCAAGGCCTGATCAGAGACCAACAAAACTGGGCCGTACAAAGAATGATCCGCTTAATGAGGACTATACAGCTGGTTATTCACCGTTTGTTATGCGAGATGTCAACTCTAGAGCAGCAATGCTGGGCATTAAACCTGGTGATCCTATAAAATATTGGATGAGAAGGAATCCTAATGAACCTAGAAAACACAAGAAATAAATAATACTGTTAACGCATTTTCAGCATTTAATACCGTGCAAAATAAAACTTCTAGGGATAAAAGTGTCACGTTTTGTACATATTAATAATATGAATTTTTTAAATGTCGTAAAGTAAATAAAATAAAATACAAAATTTTTCACCAGAATTTATTTTATTGTATGATTTACATATTGTCTATATTATGATCAAAACCTTACATAATAACGAGAAAAGCTGTAAAAATTCAATTCAATTTTTATTCAAGATTGGTAGGTTTATCTTGCCCCTTCTAAGTATTAATTTTTCGATTAATTCAATTTTTTTTTTTTTTTATTGAATAAGGAAGTAAAAATAAATTATACGGTATTTTACATGCGAGGCTCGTTTAATTTTCGAATGCACGTATTATATAATTTTTTTTACTGTAAATTTTTTGTTGAGTGTATACGTTTACCAAAGAAAATGTCAACGATATAAGTATGATACGAGTTAATTTCTTGAAAGTACCGTAGTCATGGCATTCAATAAAATTCGGCTGTATCTTTTTTTCATAGTTACCCATCTAACAATTCAGTTTGAAATGAGAAAAAATAATTTTTCGTGAGCGACAAGCTGAAAGAAAACACATTCGTTGAGATCGAACAAAAGCCTTGCTAAAAGTGTGTACTTATTCTGAAAGTTTTACTTCTACACGTACTTATGTAATATAAATAAATAGAATTTGAACTTACTTTATACATTATTAATTAATGAACAAAACTCTCTTACATACCTATACAACAGATTCGTACTCCGTATACAGGCCGGCGGCCGCTTTACCCCTTCTCCACTCTCTACACTTACCCTGACGTGACCTGCCCTAACCTGAACAACGACCAAAAGGGCGGCTCGGCGGGTTCCTTTTGGTTCCTTCAGCGAAATTGAGTTTCAGTCTATTAAGTAGTAGCTTGAGTATCGGACTCGAGTCCACGGATGGCTTAATCGTAGTCGGTGTCTCCTCGTACTCGACAAAGGAGTCGAACGTATACTTACTTACCGTAAAATGAGTCCGTAGACTACGTCGGAACGTTCGCACCTTTTTGCACTTTTTTTCTCGTATTGTGAATTTTGTTTCGTTGTGGCCGCCGTCGTCTCGTAAGTGTATCTACGTAAGTACCTATAAGCTGATACTTACGTTTGGTGAATAGTCGCGAGTGATGAATGTAAAAACAAAAAATAATTTGAGAAAGGCATAAGTAGATGAGACCGTTCGATTTCCCCCGGCATAGTGTCATAGTGTGTAGTGTTTTTGTTTAAACTGATACAGCGTTCTCAATTTTTTTGATCGGAACGACGAGAGATTGTGTTCGCAATCGCGGGTGGCGGGAGTGATTTTTTTTTTTTTTTTTTTGCTTGAAACGCAAGTTAAGAGGTGCAGAGAGCATGCAGATGTGGATAGTGGATAGGTTTTTTTACACATGAAACATATTTCCCGGCACGTAATGGCGGTTGCGGGCGGTGGGCTTCATCATCGGCAAGATTATCCAGCCAACGGCGACGAGTCGACAAGGACTATGCTGGGCTCTAGGACGTCTTCGATAAGGTTTGAAGCTTTTTTTTTTTTTCTAATTCCGAATCCTTGTCGATACTTGATCAGCGTAATTTTGTTCTGCAATCATATACGGGGCTAAAAAGCTGTTGGCTCGAGCGTTTTGAAATTCCGTGAAATCGATGCACGCCTTGCTTTTTTATACCTATATTCATAACAAAATCGTTGGCGCCCACATTCTCGGATTCTACAAGTCTATGAAATTTAGTAGTCTTCACTTTTTCAATCTTTTCAACGTATTGGGATTCGAACAACAGATGAGAGAGCTCCATACTTATCAAAAGGTTTTGAAAGATTTTTATATTTGGCGCTGACTGTGTTGTTCGGAACCCAACGCTCTCAGATTCTGAGAATAAATGACCATAACGGGCATTTCGTGTAAATAAGCGGTAAAATGCGCACTCTTAGTCAATAAAGCAGTTTTTTTTGTTTTTAACTTTCTTTTAACAACTGCAATAGCATGAGACCATTCATTCAAAAAAAAAACAACAATTGTTAGTTTCCGTTTACCTAACTGTAATCTGACTTATTTTTTTTTTTTTTTTTTTTTTTTTTTTTTTTTTTTTTTTTTTATACCGTTTTTTACAGCATTTTTTGCTTTTTTTTGTCAACAGGTAAGCTTAGGAAAATTGACACCGAAAATTCTCAGTCATCGACAAAGTGAGTGACCATATATTAGATTCTGTACCCTATTATGCTTACAAATTGATCAGTCAATATTTTATGTCTATGACAATCTTGCCATGTTTAACTATTATTATTTGTTACTCTTATACTATTGTTTCTATCATCATTACATATTTTTATAACTGTTTTATTATTATAATTATTTTCTTATTGTTCTGCAATGATACTATTTTTCATATATTTTTTTGAGGGTTTATAGAGGTATTGCATTTATATTACGTATATTTTCATGTACTTGAGTGTTTATTCATTTTCAGCTTTAGTAATAATGTAACGTTTAGACATTTAATATGCCACAATAATAAAAAATGTGTAAAATGTTGTAAAGATTTTCTGTTTCAGCTGTATTTTTTTCTAATAATACATTTGTATTACATATATCCTTTATAAATGTACCTATCATACCATGAAATATTTAGTTAAGAAAATTGTTCATTTTTCTGTTTCAGCTGTATTTTTTTATAATAATACATTCATATTATAAATATTCTTTAAAAACTCACCTGTTATATCATTAAGAAAATTGTTCATTTTTCTGTTTCAGCTGTATTTTTTTCTAATAATACATTTGTATTACATATATCCTTTATAAATGTACCTATCATAGTGAATGTTTTTTTTTTTTTTTTTTTTTTACTTAACTTAAATTAATTTTAATTTTTCAGGGAATCTGAAAGATGTAAGAAAAAAGATGGATTCTGGTGTTATCAAAGAAAAGCCAGCCACTGTAGCATGTTTGACGATGGATTATGCTATGCAAAACGTTTTAANAATAACAAATACCTCCTACTATATGCTTAAAATGCCAATAATATGTATATAAATGCTTTCCACATGTTAATATTATCATAACAAACCTTTTCTGTTTCAGTTTCTCTTTTTCAGACAAATATATTGAATTTTCCGTATTGTAAAACCCCCATTATCCTCTAAATTTTACATTTATTTGATATAATGCCTTTTTTTCACTCATAATTTTCTGGGTTTGATTTACCCTGTTCTTAAGTTTAAATTTTATTACTATTGCGTTTTTTATAACTTCTCGAGCAAAAAAAGTGTTTTTTGAATAACAGTGCAGTTTAGTGTTTTTTAAGTGTCACTTTTGTTGTATATCTACTTGTCAGATTTTATTTCACTACAACTTCAAGTCTTTGTACAGTTTTCTCAGTGTAAGTAAAATTTATACATCTTAAATGTTTATCATTTATAAAGTAATTCCATAATTGTAAATATCCCTGTGCTTCTTGTCTCTTCTAAAATTTTTAGGTAAAACTTGTCATTTTTTAAAATATTGTTTTTTTAGTATCAAATTAAAAAAAAATTTATTGAAATATCTAAATAATGTTTCTGTGCCAAATTGATGAATTAGTATGGTACCGAGGTAGGAACATACCACTTTCCTTCTAGGTATAACTTGAGTTTAAGGCAACGATGGTAAACGTCCAAGAAGTAAAGTTGTATTTTGCGTCTCTAATACGTGTAAATTTTTTTAATTTATTCATTTTTTAACTTTACTAGGAACTTTAGTTTGATATTACGTTTTTACACGTAAATACGAATATCTTACTAGCTATTTGGGCCTTTCATAATTTGAAATAAACAAATTGTTTAAGGACCTATATTACCAAAAGGAGGAGCCATTTAGACTTTTCACTGTTTTTATGGGAAAAGTTTAAAACAAAAGCTTGGCTGGGCTTCACTGAAAGGGGCGAGGTCGGGGCCCCTTTCGATCATCAATGTTTAGAATGATTGTTTTACATAACTTTTTCAGAAAAAAAATATCTCTCTAGGCCCCCTTATAGTATAACTTTTTTAATGTGTCCAAATAATATTGAACACATAATAATGTTGGTCTCACGGTGTATGCTGTAAAATTTTTATACTTATTCGAACACATCAATTTTACATTCTCGCACAAAATTTTGATCAAACAAGTTTTATCAATTTAATAAACATTTTTTATATACATCGGTATTTGCTTGTTAAAATAAAACTTGTTCTGTAATCGGTAGATCAATTCAAATTTGTTTTAATGACTTTACTGTACAAAAATTTCTATACACAAATGGATCTTTGCAATACAAGAAGTTTTACATAAATACTACTGTACGTGTAATATATTTATTTTAACGCATTAACATATAAAATGATATCTACTCTTCGTGGTACATCCTCCACGTGTCCAATAAATGCTGTTTAATCTGTCCAATAAATGTTTTTATTTTTTGCTCCTGTTGAAAAATCAGAGTAATTTTTAATTTTTTAATTTTTTTTTTTTTTTTTTTTTTAGCTTGAAGCCAATACAAAACAAACGTTTGCTTTAAAAAATTTAACTTTCTTAATCAATCAAATAATTTCACTCACTTAGCAATGTAAAATTACAAATTACATTACAAATGACAAAACTTGATAATACTAACTTAAACTAAGTAAAATAAACTTTCTTCACACAAAAGTTTAATCCATATATCACAGTTCGATTCCCTATGTAAACGTGATTACAACGACTTGTTAATTATAATGGTATGACGATGATTTTAAAATTAGTAATAATGTCGAAGCTGACATGGACTGTAAAAGCATAAGTATCACAATTTTTTTTTTTTTTTTTTTTTTTCACTGAATCATGGCAATAATTTTAAAGCTGGCTTTGTTATTTTTCAACGATCTCCCATAATTCGAGTGCGAGAAACCGTTGATTTTAGTACTTTATTTTTAAAGTACATTTAAGAAATACAAGCTAAAAACAATGATTGACGTTAATACTTGAATATACTAAAGCTATAATAATAATAATAATACTCGATACACACGTGCTCGTCCATTATTATCATCGAATAAAAAATACGCAATCATGAAAAACTTGCTATCCTCATTTTAGTCAGGAAATGCACGTCCACTCAATAGTCCATGGTTACGAAAAAAGCAACTTTCTTTATCAGTTGACGAAGAAAAATGTACCTTAATTGCACTCTTCCACAAGTATAATACCTGTGGTACAACATTCGGCTTCACAAGTATCTCACAGTACTTGGTCGCAAAATCAAAGGTGACAACAAATGAAAAGAAAAAAAAAAAAAAGAAATCACAAAACCGAGACAAAAGCAAAAGCCATCACGCACATGCAGGCCAACGTCACCTCAACCACGGGTGCAGCCGAGCTGGCAGCCCGCAGCTCGTTAAGGATGAGCGGCAACCAGTTGGCGATCGAGCTACGCACCTTCTCGTCCACCCGGTGGTCCTCCACCTCGTTTTCCCCGACCTTGTCGTCTAAACTACCGCTCGCCATCGTAGTCGTGGTCGTTTTAATTTTCGATCGATTGTCCTTCGACGGCTTGTAGTTGCCGCAACGCGGAAATCCCTCGGGCACCTGAGCAAAGTCCTCGTGCTCGCCCACCTTGAAGACCAAAGACATACCCACCTCCGAGTGGAACTCTATGTGACAGTGGAACAGCCAGTAGCCTGTACGAAAAACAAACAAATTAATTTGCAAATCTCTTAGCCACCTGTCCTCGGTCCGCAAAATGATACTATATATTATGGCAACGAGTCGACTATGATTGTAATGAAAACGAAAAATGGGGATATCCTACCTGGATTACTGGCGTGAAACCGGATGATGGTGAAGCCGCCGTCGGGTACGGTGACCGTGTCTTTGATGGGGGCCCTGTCGAACCTCCTTTTGATGCGACCCTCGCGATCGGCTCTTCTCACATCCTCGGCCGTGGTATTGCTGCCCAGCCTCTGTATGGCCATCACGCGGAAATCGTGGCCGTGAAGATGAAACGGGTGGTTTGCGTCGTACGGCACGCCTATATATGAGAAATCGCACTCTCTCGTGTTACATAACAATACGGCGTGAGTACCCGCTTGGGTAATGTATAGGTAAATGCGATAATTTGTTGGTGTGTACGACAACGTGTGTATATATATATACTCTTTTATTGCGCGACACGCGTCTCTACAATATACCTACATACACGTGAGGTTCGTCGAACTTTTTTTTTTTTTTTTTTTTTTTTTTTTTTTTTTTTTTTTTTTTTNTTTTTTTTTTTTTTTTTTTTTTTTTTTTTTTTTTTTTTTTTTTTTTTTACACCCAATGAGCACATAGTACGAGCATACGTAGGTTGTTGCGTGCAGTTTCTCCCGTTTCTGTTACACGCTGATGCTCGTGGATCGATTAACCGATGTGTGAATGATCGTCCTTCCTTTTACGCGTCATTTTATCTTGATATTGTGTGCTACAACGATATATACCTATACGTGTCATTGAGAAATAATGTGATTGAGAGCCAATTACAATGTAATTTCGACCCAACTTGTCATTCGTCATTTGAGCTTTAAATGTAAACGACAGGATAAAATTGGAGAAATAGACCGAGCGGGCGCGATAAGGATTAATCGTAAAAAAGTAAATATAAATAAATTAATACCCGCACGTGACGCGAAAGCTCAGCGATCGAGAGAAAAACAGGTCATCGCGATGTGTGACATTTTCCACGTAACATCACACAATGTAATTATACACACGCGCAGTTACACGTATGTATAATCCAATGCAACGGTGCACGAGGTACACGCGCCTCTCGTGCGTATATATACCAAGAAACATCGGTCTCTCCCTCATTTATCGGAGCAATTGCGATATTGTTTCATCTCTTTTTTACGTGTATTATACACATACTTGTGTAAATACGCGGTACGTGGCACACGTTCGTTCATCTATACGTATCACCTGCGGCCCTGGTATGTAACATGCAAAACTCTCGAGGCCGATCATGTAGTACGCACGATGGTTTTTTGTAACATTACTCGCTGTATATAGGTACTCTTTGAGAAATAAAAACAGCGCACAATAAAGATACCCCCGTTTTATACATACACGCGCACAACCTAGGTATATTACTCATCATCTTGTTGAACCATTGTAGTTTTCCTTGACGTTTTTGTTAACGCGTGTGTGATGTAAGTATGTAAAAAGATCGAAAAATGAAGATGGACAGGAGGGCGTCCGTGTAACCTTGGCCATTCGTTCGAATACTTACTCTGCTTCGCCAAAAAGCCTACAAGTGTATACATGGATATAATGACGCGCTTTCGCGGGTGCAGGAGACGCTCGACCGAATCTTTCTCCGATCAACCGGACGGCAAAATTATACTTTCCAGCAGCATTTTCCACGCGCCGATCTTAAATTGAACGTGTTCGCGGAATAAACGCGAAAGAAGGAAAACACTTGGACGTACCTTCGTCAACGAGAACCAGTTCGACCAAACTGTTGAGTTTGACCTGTAACACGTGCGGACAGGCGCAATACTCGGTGTCGCAACCCTTGACCGTGCTGTCGTTGCAAAAGTGCCGCGAGTCTATCATGCCGGTCTGCGACATAAGCGGGAACGTTGGCATCTTCATCGATATGTGGTTCAGCTGTGGCATGCCCGTCTTGTGCTTGGCTAATTCGACCAAACAAGTTCATCAAAACACACATGTACCACAATATTGACAAACGCGTATAGGTAAACATAGGTAATGCAACAGGTGCGGTGGATATACATACCTTCCCGATACCCGTACAGGCCCTTGCGGTGGTAATCGTCACTGTCCTTTCCGTAAAAATCGTAGGAGATGTAAAACTGATAGTCGGGATCCCTTTCGACATTGGCCTCGCTGTTCTTGTCGAGAGCCTGCAGGTGCGGTATGCTCACCGAGTCCTCGGCCTCGGTTCCTTTGTTGAATGGATTTACTTGCTAATGAAACGCAACGATTCATCATCGATTCACACATCGTCATGCCTAATCGCAAGTCCACTTACTTTCGTTATGTCCTCGTTGTAGGGTATTTCGTAGGCAACGTCGGCTTTTGGATCCTCGTGAGGTGCACCCTCGTACCTGAGTATCGCCACCTGGTAGGCCTTTGTGAATTTGGGCGCGCAATCGAGCAACCCTCTGAATCTAATCCAGTAGTTGCCGATCTCCTGGTTCATTTCTACAATCACGTCGAATCGCTCTCCGGCGTAAGTGACCAGCGAATCGGCTGAATCGAGGGTAATTTATATCCAACCGACCAATTATCATTATTATTATTTTTACGCGGTGTATATATAATATATGCAACGAGATCTTTGTACCTTCGATCGGATCCACGTCTTTGCCGTCTGAGCTCGCGACCAACATGGTGTGGTTGTCTATGGACATTTCGATCGGACAGTTGAGAAACTCGGCGTTGATGATGCGCAGCCGGTACCTGTAATTCTTCGTACGGCAGCAGAAAAAAAAAAAAAGAAAAAACAATAAACCAATATGAGCTACTGACTCATTGGAGTTACACATGTGTCGTATAATATACGCGTATAATGATTTTAAAAATTGTGTAACGGGCGTATTGTAAAGTGAAAATTCCGTAACTGCACTCTGACGAGTGTAGTCTGGCGTTTGCAGTTATAATATATGTTGTAAACATTTATGGCCCTTGCGTTACCGGCATTAGCTTTATGGCCTATATTGTCTGTGTGGAGATCCAAGTGGTTTGAGAAACATTGGGGATAAAAACTTGTTCGCGCGTCGATCTTCGATACGAAAACTATTTTTTCTCCCTTGGAAAAAAATTCGGGTTGTTTCTTGGTCCTGCAGTAATTAACGCGCATCAGGAGTTGCTTCAAAATGAGCGAATGGGTAAAGGTAAGTATATCCCAATTAAACCTGCGGGGAATTTCAGGTATGCTCGAAAAAAAGGCCAAATGCGGTGTTTGGAATTCGAGTAGTTGCGCGTTGCATAATGAGATTGAGATGATTGGCGTTTAATCGAGGCTCTCGTTGCTCAACAAGATTTATTTTTTCGGAACTGGATTGATTACGCCGTATTTTTGTAATTGGCGGCTGTACAATTTATCCCCAATTTAAAACCTATTCAGTAATATGCACATTTCTGATTTGCTTTGCATATTTCTCTCAGATGAAAAAAAAAAACATTTTTATTTTAATCATCCTTATTTTTATGTCGTTTGTCTTTTTCTTATCGTTTATTTAGTTTAAAAAAAAATTCCTCAAAACAATTGTAAACTCGATTTATCAGAATAATTGATTGTTTTTTTACGTAAAACGTAGTTTTTACATTTTTTAATATTCATACACATATCTACTCGCAAGCTTTAAATAAAAAGCGATTGCATTCGCAAATATTTTTTCAAGTGTTCGAAACATAATACGGCAACTGTGTCACCGTAGCCTATTAATTATACTTGTTCCTGATGAAAATAACTGTCAATCTTTATCCGCAATATACGCATTCGAAAATACCCACTGGCCCACCACAAATATGTACCAATGTGACGTTCGTCAAAACTGACTTTCGACACTCTCTAATGACCCCCAAAACAACAGTCTGACGTTTGCCATTTCGTCTCTTCAAAACACCCCCTTCGAGCACTCAAACGATCCTTCCCCCCGTTGAAAGCAGCTGGGGGGGGGGGGGGGGAAAGGAAAGAAATTCAGCGATCCTTAGAAACGTAATGTATATATCCGTATCCTCGTACCTTCTTGACATTGAACGTGGCCGTGAGCATGTGATTGAGCGGTCCCTCTCTCTGCGTGCGATTCCCAAAGCGGCCCAGCCCGTTGATAATTACGTTGGGGGGCTTGTTGTCGCCGTTGCCGTGGTAATGGCCCAAAAACTTGACCAAGCCCATCTCGTGGTCCCAGTCGGACACGATCATGTGGTGCTCGTCGTAATCGTACAGGTTGCGCAACTGATCGACTTTCGGCGCCCGGCGCACTATCAACGCCCCGAACAGACCGTCACCGCGTTGGAAACCTGAAAACAAAACGATCGCACATTCTTTGATCCGAAAGCATCGCAGGCATATGGATTTGCATCATCTTGCACCAAATAGTACCTATATTGTATGCACTGATTTGTTTTCACGTATCGTATTATTGTCACAAAAATACTCCTTTCAAATCATTTAGTTTTGCAAAACTAATTTTTTTTTTTCATCAACAAAATACCGAGCGAGTCTCGCACGGATGCCAAATCCAAAACGCAAAATTCCCGAACGATGCGCCGGATATACCGCGCTCACGATAAACTACAACGTAACCGAGCCGTGACGCGTAACGCTTTCTCTCTCCTCCTGCGTTTCATCCGAGTCTTGTGTGCACATCGTTACGGAATCCCGGCGCTAAAAAGGGGATACACACCGGTGATAGCATAATTAAACATATATACACATCCCACCGCTTATACTCGGAGAAACTCGGCGTTATTATCCAATCATGCGCTCGGTGCAAACATGTGACTCTCGATTGCCTTTTTTTTCAATGATTTTTCCATAAATGACGCGCGTGCGCCGTATATTGTACTTTCCTTTCCTTTTTTTAATATCTTGTTGTCGTCGAGCGAGATATTGGAGGGGTGTAAAAATAAAAAAAAAAAACTTACCAATGTGCGAGTGCCAGAAATGACTGCCGGGAGTGGCTGCGATGAAATCGTAGCGAAACGTCTCGCCGGGTAGTATCGGGCACTGGCTGATGAAAGGGGTACCGTCCATGTACGGGTTTTGCCGGAGGTGTTGTCCGTGCCAGTGGATCGTCGTGCTATCGGCGTGTAGCATGTTTATCACGTCGACGATTACCCGGTCACCCTCGCACACCTGCATTTCGACGAAAATCACAAAAAATTTTTTTTTTTTTTTTTTAATTAGCCTCTGTCGTTGATTCATCGGCGTCTGACCGGTACACCGACTGTTTCTACTTGTCGGCCCTACATACGTCACGCAACAGTGTATAAATATGTAAGTGTACAGGCACGTTACGACCCACGTGTGCTTATCACGTTTCTTTCACGTAGCTATTGTATACAGATACTTGCGATTAATCGATCGCAATTAAAATCGGCGTGAACGATAAATATGTTTATTTTCATGTACGCGCAAAAGCTACGGGATGCTCATTTGTGGTGTAAAAACTTTGAGATCCGTCGGGTGATTTATTTAGCCATGAATATTCATTTTCCGCGAGTATAAAAAAAAGGAACTCGACGATTATGGTCATAAAAACCGAGTTTTTCTCATTTTTTTTTTTTTTACTCCACGTATAGCATCAAAACCTTTATTCGTTTCGAATAATTTGAATCGGCAAATATGACGCACGTATAACAGTATAGTTCAGCGGATGCAACATAATGTGTATAATAATGAAGTAAGAAAAAAAAAAAGAAAAAATCATTACACCCACTTGAAAAAGATTCATCGGCGAACGCACGAGTTTTTTTTCTCATAGTAATCAACCACCTACTTGTCATTATATATGCAGTGAATTTATATTGCATTTGTTTTCCTACAGTTGCGAATCCTCGTGTTTGCTTTTCTTATTCTATAATTATATTTGTTTGATGATGAAATTTTTTACGTAAGTAAGGATGTACAAAAAGGGTATATATAAACTTCAATGCGTTTCATTGGGATTGACGACCATCCGAATTAAAATGCCCCGATTTACCTGATTGACGCTTTCTTATTACCCATACCCGTCGACGACTCGTTTAAAAGCAGTATAAAGTTTTAAGATACAATTCCGCGAACCCGTTACATCACGCGCCACCGTCATCGCGATATTATAATCGCCGTGATGTTAATGGACGCTCTCGCAAGTACGCACAATTATATGAAAAAAAAAAAAATCCCATAAGAGAGGCTGCGCGTACGTGAGATCCCGGAACAAGCGTCGTCATCGAAGGACGCTGGATTCTCAATAGAGTCTTGATGATGTGTTGAAAAAAAAAAAAAAAAAAAAAATTAAATTATACAACACACGGTACAATTTAGTTTTATTGATGCAACCACGCGAATATATATAATATATGTCGGGCAAGATAGATCTAATCAAACATCGATACATGATGCGAGCGACGCACCTCAACTTTGTATAAAATTGTAGCGCGTCGTGGTATTATGCAAACTTGGGGAAATTAATCGAGTTTTTTCATAGTAACCACAATGACAATTAGTTGGAGCATTGAAATAATGTGACGCGAGTGTTGCAGGAGGAGGAAGTGATGAATATTTGTGTATCTATAATGCATGAATTGGCCTACGTAATATTGAGCAAGAAAATGTCGCATTGTTGTACATTATCGCTTGTTTCGTAAGAAAAAAAAAAAAAAAGAAAAAAATCATGCAAACACGATTTACGATGTACTAAAAGTGTTTGAAATTTTCTAAAAAAAAAAAAAAAAAAAAAAAAAGACATTTTTTAATATATTTAAGATACAAATGGATACGCGAATCACAAAACTAAAACGCGAGGACCAAAATCATAAGTTGTTTGTTTTATCAGATCGTGCAATTTATAGCATCACTTTTGTATAAGTCTTCCTGCTAAACGAAATAATAAGTAATCAATAATTTTTATATTTCAAATGCTTGAATTAGCTTAGACAACAGCTTGAATCGCTGTGTGGTTTTTAATTTCTCATGCGTAATCACGTCCGTACAGTTGATCTCGAGCGGTTCGAAGGATGAACGAGTACTTATTTACTCATTTTTACGTAATCCTTTGGAGTAAAAAAAAAAAAAAAAAAAAAAGTCGATCAACGTAACGGTGCTTCACCGCAAAATTGAAACTCCATTACAATGGAAATTATAAAAAAAAAAAAAAAAAGAAAAAAACCATCATGGATGCAAAAAAGCTTTGTCCGTGAAAAAAATGCATCGTTGGCGTCACGCGGACACACATATACACATACGTACGTGCACGATCTGTCGAGAGGCCTTCGGAGGGTCGTGTGCCTTACTTAGTTTTCGCGCGCTCTAAAACTCGGCCTTAACGACGCTTGTCTATAATACAGAGTTTTGCATACACACATATACATATATGTGTGTGTGTGTGAACTGGTTGCTGAGACATTGTTCGCGCTGCTGCAGGTGCGTATATGGCAATTTCGTTGACTTCTGTTTTCGCACGTACAGAGACAAGACAAGAGTACCGCGGATACGTGTCTTTGTCGAGTTACAGATAATTGCTTTGCCAGCAACCAGCGTATGATTTTATATTGCTTATGATGAAAATTTATGGGTTTGACGTGATTTTTACCCTTTTTTCATTCACAAGTTGATTCACCGGATTACGGAGTCAGCGCATTTATTGAGACCGTCCGATAGATCGATATCGGACTCGCGATACAAAGGGTCGGGGCGGGCTCGATCGGTTGGCTCGTGATTCACGTCACGCGGATCTAATTAATTGAAATGTACTCATAGATACGCGACAGACGGAAAAACGTCGAGATGTGATTTACGCACTTACTTGCGGTGCAGGCGATTAAAAGGAGAAGGAAAAAAAATTCCTATTACGGTTACACGCGTAGAATCGAATTTTTTTTTTATGCTAATTTATTTAAATATTTGGGTGCTCTTTTGCTTCTTCTTTTCATGTAACTTGTCGTGCAAAAGCAAAAAAAAATTATTACTCGGTACGAACCAATTGAGGTCACTGACTCGTAAGCAAAGCTATTTTTCTGTACGTCTTTACGCAATGCTCGTCAGTTCGGCACGATCATTTGCATCAATCTCGATCGCGACGAAGAGAGAAATATACCTAATAGAAAATTGAAAAGTCACGGTTGGATCTTCGTTTGATAAAATTGAGAAAATATAGCTGCAGGAAACACAAGTATATTGTGCCAACTTGCAAATCAGCATCGGGAATATGTTGATCAGCTCGCGCGGGAGTGTCCGTTGTCGTTAAAAAAACCGCGAATTCGTTATTATCTCAAGAAAAAAAAAAAAAAAAAAAANAGTCGTATCGAAAGACGAGGATTTTCATTGTCTGTGTCTCTATCTCGCGTTGACACTTTTTCTCTGATGATAATCACGACGCGAGATGACGCATACGTGAAACGAGGGAAATAAAACTAATCAAATTGTCATAATTTTATGGCCGTGCGCGTCGTATCTCAGAGATAACGAGTCAAAAATAAAGAAAAACAAACAGTAGATTTTTTTTTTTTTTTCAAGAATTAAGAATACTTTCTATACTATATGTTTATTCTATATGGATCGTATATTACGTCGTTCAAAGTCCATCACTCGATTCACGCGCTTTTATACATGTTTATCGTATTTATTACATGAAGCATTATGAGTAATAGGTCAATCTTGTCATTGTTTGAGTTTTTTTTTTTTTTTTTTTTTTCCCAGATGCTTTTTTCTGTCATATGATATACAAGGGAAAGCCTGGAATCTCGCGTTATCCTCTTTGGAGTAAATAAAGACTATCAACCTTCTGGTATGTGCTCGTTTTAATTTTACTCGATGAAGTATGTGCATTTATTTCATTATATTCGGTCAATTCAAAAAAAAAATTTAATACACGTTTTTCTTTAATCAGCTACGCAATAAACTTTATGATATTCATTCGATCGGTTGGTTAATTAATAATAACTGTTGGGTTTCGTTAAATTCGTGTAGCTTTGGTATTTTAGACAATTGTACACCTGTTCTCGAGAAATGTTCACAAGTTTATTGACAATATTACATTAATTTTCATCGATTTGTACGCACAGTTGTAAGTTTTGCACAATAAAATGGTAATCTTTTGCAGAGATGCATTTATCATACTTCATTTAATTGAACGAAAATCATAAAGTTTACAGTTTTAATCTTTAAATCTGTAAATATTGGTAAAATTATTAATGTACACCTTTGCCGATCAACTGATAATACTCGTTATGAAGTTTACCTAAGCTCTCTCTCTCTCTCTCAAATTGTCTGTTAATACTTGTCTCTTACTACTTATTGATTGAGGAGGAATAACATTTTTTTTTTTTTTTTTATTATTATTTTTCTTAATGCAAATTTAATTTTTCTAATAATTATTGATTACGCACTTTTCTATGGTGTTCGTGTAAAAAAAAAAAAAAAAAAAAAATACTTACTCGATTGACTCTGTCGAGCGAAAATTATCTGAAGCAGCAAGAAAAAGAACAACTTTCCGCCCATCGTGTTGATATGCAAAGTATGAAAATTCACCCGATCAACTTTCAATCACTTGTCAAAATGTGTCACTAAAAATTAAACGAAATACCGTCTCTAGCAGTTTTATTTGATTTTATGTATTCACTACACGTACATCAAGTTTTTCCAAAAAAAAAAAAAAACGGCACAAAAACAAAATCTATTCACCGTCACATGTAATATGTATATACATTTTTTTTTCCAACAAAAAATTCTAACCAATCGAAGCCCTCGATAAAAAAAAAAAAAAAACCAAAGTACAACACGGCGTGCAACTCCGATCGACTCTCAAAGCGCTCTTAAGCCGGCACGCGGTATATAACCAACGGCAGCGCCGACGACGACGGCGGTGTCCCACGCACGCACACGCATACGCGATAGACGCAGTTGAATCTCCGCAAAGAGGAAAATACGCGTTGCCTCGAGATTAAGTCCCGCACTGTCCGACTCTTCCATTCCCCCGTTGGTGTTGTGTAGCCTTTGAGAGAAACGAGAGGGACAGTAAGTATGACGTCGAGCGTTTGTGGCGAGTATCAATGAAATCAGTCTATAGGTATATACACGTAGTGCACATTGCCGATTTTTCGATTCCTTTTTTTTTTTTTTTTTTAGGTATCAGGAGTAGGGACTTTTTTTCTGCTTTTTGCGCGTGGATGTGTAATTGTGACGGTGTCGGGGACTTTTTGCGATAGGAGAGTGAATCGCGATAGTTGTTAAGGAATTCCTTGTTTCTGGATCGGTTAGTCACGTACGCGTTGTGTACAATTTTTGTTGTTGCCGATCATCCTGCATTTTATAATTAAATGTTCAGTTCAAATGAATCAGCTTTTCTCGTGAGTCTGAAATTCAATTTAGCATTTTTCTATATGATATCCTCCATAAATCCAAATAATTGAATTCGATGGTTCGTCGTGATTTTCGCAGGTGATTGAAAATTCAATTGTACATTGAAAAGACAGCTCTTTCATTTTAATAATTTGAACACACGTGAGAATCACTTACGGTTTATATTTCGATCAAGTTAATCGGTAGCTGTAACACATGTTGACCATCGGTTATACCTAATAATGACTCATAGTAAGCTCTCCCGTTCAATTTTTCGAAAAGCGTAACTTTAGTTTTTCGTAAACGTTGCAAATGAAATATTTTAAATGTTTTTAATTATTATACTGACTCGATTTTTCCTAAAAAAATTTTAAAAAATCGTCTTGTTTGCATGGTTTCATGGTATTAATGTGGGGGTCACAAAAATATAAAGTTAAGTATTCTTTATTACAAGGACGATTTACCGCATTAATATTCATAACAATCATAATATTGGGTATATAATAACACGAAGCTTAGCCAGAGTAGGCGGGAAATTTCACAGCTTAATTTTTACAACCCTTTAATTGAGTTCCTGCACTTGTCAAAAATATGTTCAATATGACGTATTATTAGGCCATAAAAATTATTTGGTTACGATACTTATCATCTTACAAAAAATTTTAAAAACACGTCTATAAAAAAGCATTAGCCCAAAAATTCATTTGCATTTATATTCAATTGTCGACGGAAAAAACGCCATCGTAATACCAGAACGATCGCAATAATTTTTATTAGACTATCAAGGGCGTTGGGAAAAACTTGTCCAGAAATAGAGCTAGACTTTGTGCTTATCAGCGGCAAACTAAGTTTGAGAGCTTTACTAGTGTTGTGTACACTTTGCGATATCATGTAGCAGAAAGAAAAGCATTTTTTTTTCGCACCTTCAAACACGTAATAAATGCATGTGATCGGTACGTGTCACGATTAGTGAGACTACATGTATGTTTACCTCACGTGCACTTGTATGGATGAGACTAAAAATTGAACGGGAGAAGCGACCATTACCCAATGAATCTTAAAAAATTATGGCACTCGAAAATGTCCAAGTGATGCAATGCGGTCGATTGTATCTCAATCGATTCGCGAGTCATCCCAATGAAAGCATCTAAAATCACCCGCTGTCTCTTTGGGGAGTTTTAATGCAATGTACGAGCCGTTTAAATGTCATCGGAACAAAAGAAATGGAGAGTATTGGTTTGCGCACGTGTAAAGAGTACCCGTGTATTCGTAAAAAGAGAAAATAGCTCGTCGCCTCAACCTCCTTTTTTTTCCCTTCTCTCTCGCCTATGAAGATAATCATCGCGCACGAAGTACCTACACAACATTGCGCTAAACCAAAGTGCGCGTCGACTCGCTTCCCAAGGTTGAACTTTGCAAAGAAAGCAGTGGCTACGAAAAATTACCCGCTGGAACATGTGCGTAGCGAATACAAGTATATACGCACAAAAAAAAAATTTATACCGTGGATTATGATGATAATGAATTTTGTACCAATTTTTTTTTCTTTCTTTTTTTTTTTTTAATGCTTACCTCGTGGTTATTTTTACGATTGACTGTCGGAATCTTGAATAAAAATATGAGCGAACGCGCAACGTTATGTACCCTTCATTGTTTTTTCCGTTCATACATATTATGTTTGCATATTAAAATTTCCTCATGCCACTGACGTTGAATGAAGATTTTTTATGATTCCAAATTTTCGGTCTAGAATTTTGTCAATTTTGATCGAATTTTATTTATTTCGAACATAAATTTTTCCACTTTCGCAATTGCAATATCCAATACGAAAAAAATAATCATTTGTGACGGTGTAGCAAGTTACAGCAGTAAATACTTGTCGAAGTAAAAAAAAAAAAAGTTTCTCTGGATTGTACAAAGTTTGCGACATTTAAATGAAAAAACACTTCAATTTTAATTGCTCTAGTCACACAATTTTAAGCAGTTATGGCATTAACAACTGTGCCTTTGAATACAAGCTCAAGATTCAAGGCACGAAGTGAATAATTAAATTTGGTCACGTAGGAACATTTACCAGAAGAATCTCAGTGTTGAAAAATTCATCGAAAATAATTCCACAGCTTCGGAAGGATTTTTTCTTTGTCAAATTCCATAAGTGCAGCAGCACAGCTCCACCCGACCCGCAACTACACCTTGATCTTCAAAATTATGCAACAAAAGGCGAATCCGTAAAACTCACCTCCCGCTCGCACGTGCGCTTAACAACAGAGCACGCAATCTCCAGAAAACTCAATGTAAAAAAAAAAAAAAAAATTAAGACGCGAAAGTGACACTTTTTCGTTTTTACACAATCGACCGCGAGAGCGGCAGTTCTCGACTTTTCATCTGCACACACGTAAGTTAAAGGAATGTTTGAGCGACAGAGTTGCAGCAGAGTTACGTGCGACAAACGGAGCGAGATTTCGCGCTCACGAAAATACTCGATGCACTTTGTAATCTTATTCTCACATTTTTTTTGGCACTGCTTATTTGCAAAGTTTCGTTTTTTTTATTGCTAATTGGGAGATAACGCGACGAGGATGAAAATTTATGTACACATACAAGAAACTAAATAACACGTATTTACCCAAGATTTTTTTACCGTATATTAGTAACGTTTTTCATTCAAGATTATTTAAAACCCACGCACTTTGTTAACTAAAAATAGCTAGTAGATTGTAAGGAAAAAGTAGTACAAATTTTTGTAAAAAACATACTCAACATTTTATTTAGATTTTAGATATTATTAACAATTAGTAGAGAAAAAACTTGAACATTTTTTTTTCAATGTATAACAATTTAAATTACGAATTTTCGTGCTCGTTTGATAAGTTTAAATTTTCGGCTTTCGCTTGTTTGGCTTTTTTTAGCCTGTTAATTTTTTTTTTCATAACCATTGTACCTGAAATCAAAAATCATTATTAGTTAATTTAGTACGAAAAATACTAATGACGTAACATGCATGTTTTTTCTTTTTTTTTCGTTTTACTAACAAATAAGCGTTTGCCATATTTGTTTTTTAAGAGACGTCTTTTCAGCTGTCTTCCTGCATAAAATGTATCATATTATTTTAGCAGTAGTGACTTAAAGTAGTAAATAAAATTGTGCCTGTACCTTTGATTTCTGAAATTACTTAGAATACTTTTCAAGTGGAGCGACTCCGACGAGGGAATGGGAAATAACCACAACTCCCATGACTGTGGGTATATCACATTTTTTATTAGTACCATGAATAACTGGAACAGTGTTTAAAATCAGTTTTGATTTATTTTAGTAACATAAACCGTGCGGTAAACTGAAATTTCTTTTATACTCACAAAAATTAAACGTAGTTCAAGAAGAATGACGGGAAAAAATAAATCTTCGTATCTTAAGTACAATTGATTGAAAGGAACTGATATCACATGTAATAGCGTATGTGCTAAGCATAAAAAGGACCTATAAATTTACATGAGCTTGAGTTTTTTTTATTTTTATATCAATTAACTTTTTAATCATGCGTAGATAATGTAAAACTCTTTACCATACTAAAAGATAATATAAGTAAGGAAATCTAGGATGAGCCTTTTTAAATTCTTTATTATGCGTAAGGAACTGCAAGTAGCTTAATCTAAAGATATCCGATAAGAGTAAATGAACGGCGTGTACTGAAAATATTTCTATTGCTTTTGACTGCAAACTGTAAAGTTTAGTTGACATTAGTATGACAGTTAAGGCCTTAAACTTTTTGTAAAGTAAAATAAGTTTACCTTCTATTATTGATCCCAAAAACGGATAAAGTTAAGAAAAAATTTAAGAGCCCTTGAAACCAATTTTTATCTACAAGTATCATGATTCCACTGTAATGAATGTAAAAACTCTTTATGATTATTTCCATCAGATTATCCTTGGGTGACGAGTTCCATAGGAATATCATGCATAAAATATTAATAGCATTAAATGTAAGGCTCCATAACCCATCAGCATATCTGCTCCTAGATATTAGTGCGATGCGCTCACTGCGCAAGTAATGCTAGAATCACGTCGAACGTAAACATTAGTGATTTACAGTAACAATTTTTTTTTTTTGGTACTTGAACACTCACATCAAGGCACTTTTTATAGACTGGATAAAGGACGGTCCATACAAGCAACATGTTTACAAATATCACTCTCTCCCTGTGAACGTAACTTTCTGCCGCCATAATATCATGATTTTCCTCATGCTGTAAGCTGATACGTGACGAAGCGTCGGGTCTCTGTCCATTTATATATTCCAAACACAGTAAACCTAATAAATAGGGTGACATACTTTTCCCAGTAGAAATTAATCTTCTAAAATTATAGATTCAACATTATAGCTTTGCGTGAAATAACTGTGCACACGATTCAAAGAAAACGCTCTTACCACTATCGCAGCATGTCAAAACTATTTTAAGTGACAATTTACGAGTAATAAATTCACCATCGCAACATCAATATCAACGCCATGCTTTGAATTAAAAATATACAATTAAACCTGCACAACAACAACTGCAGTTGTTGCACAAGCAGAAGACGCGAGAGCTGAGTGTAGCAGACTGCATTTTTTAACTGAACGATACCAACGCAGCTGCCAAACAAACGGCAAAAAGTAGAACTAATGTTGAAGCCCGCGAAATTCAAAAATACTATAATCATTTAGATAAATAAACATGAAACTCATACTTTGCTGAGTAGCAAACGATGAAAAATTTTCAATGCTAATGAGCGCTAAATATAAAGTTTTTTGAGTCTTACGAGGAAGCAAATTTTGAAAAGTGCATTGCATCGCCATCTATCGTATGTGCAAATAACAACAATCAAAGTGGAAAGTGGAAGAGAAAAAAAAGAAGGAAAACCTGAAAAACAGAAAAACAACCTAACCCCGGAATTTGCAATGAGTGCAGTGTTACAACTTCTGCAATGTTGATCGTTTCGATTTTACAACGCCCACCGGATCCACCTCCAAAGTATTACTTTACTCTGCCACGTGCATTTGTTACTCATCACATCTGTTCGTGATAAAAATAACTGTACGTACGCATCGTATGATTAGTCACACATCAACCAGTGTATACAATCTGTAAAAATAGCTATTGTAAGTATATTTACACCTTCAAAGTATCAATCAACTTGTTGATTGCAGCGTCAGTAATAGCTCTGGGCGATAGCTAAAATGCTAATCTGAAGGATGAACCTGGACTAGCTTATACGTGCTGTTGTGCTATATGTTAACAAGAAGGTAAGTACTCTGAGATTTACTTAAGCATATGTGTGCAAATGGCAACATAACTATATTTTTTGCTTTATTCGTACTTGTGGCTTCTGACAGGTTCGTTTTGTTGATTGTGCCGTGTTTCATTTGCTGAACTTTGAATAAGTGTGCAAAATGGACAAACTGAGGAATTTCTTTAATGGAGAAGAGGATACTGCTGATGAACAAAATGGAATTATCGATCAGGTAAATACTGAGGATTTTTCAAACAACTCTGGTAAACTTTTATTTAAAACTTCATTTGTATATTAAAATACTCGGTTAAAAATACAATAGTATGCGCTTGATAATATGTTATAATAACTTTTAATGCAAGACTGATGTGGATTTTGTGGTAAGATTTCAAACTATTGTACAAAACTTGAGAATGAAGAAATTTGAATATTAATTCACTATTATTTTTATTAGATCACCGACAGTTTTCAACTAAGCAACAGTACTAGATTCAAAGGATTCGTTGCATGCTTTGTCATTGGCTTTCTACTGTTTATACTTGCTTCGTTTCCACTGTTCTTACCTGGAGGTGTTAAAATTTTTGTTATATTTTATACGTTTGGAAACATTTTGTTGATTGCTAGGTAATAATTTTACTATTTTGTACTGTAGAATATTATTATAGATAAATTTCACAGTGTAGTGTTAATTTTACAGTACTTGTTTTCTAATGGGACCAATAAACCAACTCAAAAAAATGTTTGCGCCAACAAGAATCATTGCAACTATATTGGTATTTGTTTCTCTTGGTCTAGCGCTTTATTTTGCACTAATAGTGAGTATTGTTCATAATTTATGTTTATCGTTTAAAAAGATTATGTTTGCTTAAATTACTTAATTGTTTTATTACAGCGAAGAATAGCGATAACTTCGTTACTGTTCATTATCATCCAGACTTTGGCAATGTTGTGGTATTCCTTATCCTATATACCCTATGCAAGGGACGCTGTGAAAAAGACTGTTGAAGCATGCATAGCGTAATATTTTGAAATAACATTTTTTTTAACATCATGCCTATTGTGTAAGCCTTTAAATACTGTTATTTAAAGTACTCTTAAAATTGTCTAAAATTATATTAATGTTTATACGTATGCACTTCTAAATGAGTAATAATTGTGTCCAAATAGTGCCTAAATATTCACATTCTTTAAACCTTGGATTACGTGTTTTGTGGAATGTGAATTTACTTGTAACATATTTTTTTAATCACATAATGTTAAATAACACTGTTTTATTATAAAAAAAGTTATAAAATGTTTATTAATGTGTATGAACTAAAATATGTAAAATACTATTTACACACAAATGTAAGAGTGCATTTTTTAAATCTACAGAGTTAATTACAAATATTCAAGTTATTCTTGCACAAATACCAGTGTATTTTGGTAAATATAGGCGTTGCTACTCGTGTGAATCTTATACTACACGTGCGAGAAATCGCCTTTTTCACACTTGGCGTAAATAATTAAATCATTATTGTAACTATAAGCTTGTTACAACACATATTTTGTATTATGAATAAAATTTGATTTATTTTTTTAAGTTTTATGAATCATTTTAGTTTTATAGTTTGAATACTCACGATGTTACAGAAAAATATGAATGTAAAACGAAAGCTACAAGTTAAATATAAGAAAAAAAAGTTATTTTTATATCAAAATGGCTTCCAATTACATTTTACAATTCAAGTACATGTTGCAAACCAAATACTTTCAGAAATATGTAAATTTTTGGTAACATGTGTATTGTACTTATTCATAAAATTTACAACTATTTTTACGTCAAACAACACAAATGTTTGTACAGCATTTATTTTGAAAAATAAATCATTTTAATTAAAAAATTAATTTAGTTTTAATCTTTTAAATTAAATTTTTATTGTTATTTATTCCAGACTCGTTGGTTGCCCGACTGCTGCCCGAGAGCCGCGATTAGAGGCTCACTGGGCCTTATATATAACCTCATCCCCCTCCTGTCGATGGTCTCCTGCTGAGATCACCTCGCTGTTGTTGTCAAGGAGGGTCAGTATGATAATATGCCCTGCATATCGTACGTAACAATCAGTTTTTAAAGGCTCGCGATAGGCAGGGCCAATTTAATTAAAATCCTCAGCCATGTATGAGCTGAATTTAAACTCCAACTAAAGTGCCATTTGTTTTTGTGCTGAATATATTGTGTTTTGGCAAACATAACCACTTTCTCAATGTCCTGTATGTTTTCACTTGTAAAACAAATATGAAAAATGAGAGTTGACATTTTTTTACAAATATAAAATTTTTTACAAATAACTTTTCGGCCCCATTATGAAGCCAACGATCACGATAAAATTAATCGTTTTAATCTCTGTCTGGTTCACATTTTATATCGTGACAGGTTTGTAATTATCGCCTTTATCCTTATTATACAGTTTCATGTTATTTCATTAGACAAGCAAAATTATTTACGTAATATATTATATTTTATGTCTACCGAGTATCATACAACTATTGTTTATCTAGTAAATTTTGAAAATAATATCAAAATAATGATTTGTAATAGGTAGTACACATTATAACAGTCACAAGAGTCATCATCACCAAGAAATACATCCTACTAACATAAGCACCAAAGAACTAAGGAAAGTGTCGGAGGAGATATTTAATAAATTTTCCAATAACTACTATCGATATGCAAATATTAATATACAAAGCAAAAGGGATGCTCCAGATGCCAAGGATGAAGCTCCAGAACCGTAATAAATTATCATCATTTCTATTCTTATTTTTCAATTGTTAGTGTTAATGTTACTCCATGTTGCATATGTTGAAGGTTGTTTAATGCACCGAAGGACTTGTTTAAAATGAGCCTTACCATAGATTTACTGTGCAAATTGTATGACAACTATGAAATTGATTCCTTGAAGGCTGAAGACATAACGTCAAGCGAAACAGCAGAAGAGGATCAATTTATCGATGCTTTGCTCGAAACTGACCTCATGATGCATACTATGGACTTCTTGGCTAAAAAAGAATATTTTTCAAAAAATCACGAGGTGTACAGAAATGTTCTGAAGAAAATATGGTTCCACCCATATGCAAGATCTAATGTTACGAGGGCAGTGGGAAGCTCTGGCTTCGAACACGTTTTTGTGGTAGAGAAAAATCGTCACCACATCACTGGCTTGCACAACTGGATATTCTTCGCATCTCGGGAATACGACAACAAAGCCAATTACTTGGGATTCATAAAAATAAAACGACTAGCCGATGTAAGTTCATCGGCGTAATTTTCACGATCGGTTCACGAGTACTTTTTAAAAATTTTACTTCTATTTGCTCATCAGAAAGCAGCCGTGATGAAGTTCTATCTTTCCTACATGAATAAAATAAAATTATCGTCCATGTTTGTTGGAACTCCACCGGAATTCGATTTCGCTCTCTATACACTGTGCTTCTACGCAAGACCAAGTAAGCCCTGCGATGTTCTACTAGGAGGTGAGAAAATCCGGATTCAATCTTACGTTCAACACGCAAATGACGATAAACTGGTTTCTTCGGCGTACCCTAGAATTTAATAACTATTGGTTTCAAATATATATAAAACTTCTTTTTTATGAGAGCATTTTTTATCGCGCTAAAAAGGTTTTAAAAAAAAAACTTGTAGGGGTTTAACGTATTTCTTCAGTACAATTTAGAAAAACCTATACTTTTCATATGGATACTGATATTACGTGGTATAACGGTAGAAGCATCGTGAATAAGTAGAAACGAGGAAGAACTGATTAACTTGTGTTCATTATTATTGATAAAAAGCTTTTTTTATGATGGTTACTATATATATATGTATGTGATACTAAACTCTTGAAAGAGATTAACTACTCAAAGTGGTTCAATTTACAATGTTCAGTATTAGCAAAGTGTATTTTCATGTATATCTTACTTAACAATAGTTGAAGTATTTTTCTTAAGTACTGAATAGAACACAAGTTCGTAAGTCTAAGTAGTATTAGGTATTTCCGTAGGGTTTCGAACAAATTTTCTAAATACTGTGAAAAATTAAATTTTTCGATGTAAAATTTTAGACAGTTTAACTCATAATTTTTTCACTACTTATTTTCAAATTGAGATACCTAGTACAAAACCATTTTGGAATATAAGATCTGAAACGTCCTCGTGTAAATAAAAAATGTCACTACGCCCCACAAACTATATTTAACATGTTGATAAATTATTACGTATTTTTGTATCTGCATTTCGAGTTTCAACAAAAATAAATAATTAAACAACAGAACCAACGTGAATTTGTTTAAAATCAAAGTTATCTTGGCGCTCAACGAACATTTAAGCCCTTCGACGGCGGAAAACCCCAAATTGTCCTTTTTTTTTTTCTTCATTGTGACAAAAATACGACAAAACGTAGTTGCATTGGAACGTGAAATAATGTTGGATGAATGCAAAAAAATACCATTTTTACCATTACTAAAAATCCATCCTACTACGGAATATATTACACGATAAAACCTGCCGATGGAACAAGGATCATGTTAAACAGAAAATAGCTAGCTACTGTCTTCAGGTACGAAACCCAATGAGAAAAAATATTGGGCGGGCAACCGGGAGCCACGGTTGCAATGTTGGAGTTGCAGAACGTTCGAGAAGTGTGTGCGGGAACGAGACGCACAATAAACACCCACACATCCATATACATAATACACGCCGTTCTCTCTCTGTCTATACCTTACTCTGCTCATATACTAAACTAAACACAGTCACGCACGCGAATGATCACTTGTCGCTCACCTGCTGACACATCGGAAACTCGGCTCTCCGATGTAAGAGGGAAGGGTTAAAGGAGCTCAGTGGCAATATCCAAATTCTCATCGCGACTAAAAATGTAGGTACTTGCCGTACTTACCTGAAAAATTAAAAATCAAAAAAAAAAAAAAAAAAAGAAAACATTGATCGCGCATGTGTCCATGTTATCAGGCACACGTGCAAATTTTCGAATAAAGCAAAAGCCGGCACGAGTATATTTCACCTGTGCGTCTTTTATTTGTGATCAAGTTTAGCAAACAGCAACAACAACAATAACACCAAGGCGTGCTCCAGTCAAGAAGTGCCATACAGTTGGTGGACGCAAATCTTTCCCCCGCACACGCAAGTAAGTAAAACGTAGATGAACGTTTACCACAACTCGGCTTTTAACTCCCTCAAACCTTCTTGATTCACTCCAACGTCTGGTGCGGTACACGTTTCGGAGCAATGAGAGCCGGTGTTATCTCGTTCTTTGTCCAAACGGGGGAGGGGCGGGAGGGGGCGATTATTATTGTCGTCTACGAAGGTGACGAGACGGATATTTATAAGCGAATCTCGAGCGACAACGGCATGGAAATGTGACGTAATGTATAAGAGAGATGTGTAGCGCGCAGGAGCTGCTAACGGGGGGTTTTGGGGGCGAAAAGCCGGCTAGTCCCTTTTCCCCGTCTTTCTCTCGAGTGTATGTCACGCTGGGTAGGTTTATGCGTGTTTTCTAAGCCAATGCCGCTGCTGTGGGAACAATAACAATGTGCTATAACTCGTTTTTTTTTTTTTTTTCAATTTCTAACGAAGATAACGTTTTTCATTTCATTTCATTTTCAATCATTTTTTTATGACAATTGAAATTCATCATGACGACATTTTCGTTTCAATTTTTCGTTAGAATGAACACTTTAAAATTGCTGTATTTATCCGTACATACTTACCACCTCGTATACATTTTACACACATACGATAATCGATGACGTTACACGTCACAGTTAACAGCTGGTCGGAGAATAGCGTGTATGTTTCCTGTATTGAATATAAATAGGTAAGTATATATACGTCTGCGCCCACACACTTTTTCTTCCGATCTCGATTTTCCCCTTTCCCGTGTTCTAATATTTTCTTCACAAGAAATTTGGCGATCGTCCAACAGTTACGCTGGTTTAGTGTTGTTTCCCCAGAAAAATTTCAATTAATGTAAAACTTTTTAAAATTGTTTTTTATTTTAATTAATGACAGCTATGTTTTGGAAACTCATGTCTGAAAAATAATAATTCCCATGAGAACAGCTGTTGTAAGTATGTTATTTTTATTGCATGTGCAGTTTTTTCAGTTTTATACCATTTTGCATAACTTGCGTTTTCCAATAGCTTACCAATAATTTACTGCACCTACGAATCACGGAATTTTTTTTGGAATTTACTTGTTGAATTTTGCTGTGTTGGCGTTCGCATCGTCTGCGATTTACGCCCGTTTATCATATTTCTGCAACACATAGCTTTCCATCGGAAAAATTTGTGTAATCACTTTATAGATTTTTTTTTATTGAAGAAACTTATTAATATATGAATATCTTCGAATCTAAGGACAATACAAATATTGTTTCGTTGCAAACAGTACTAAATGGACATGGATTAAATGATTCAAAAATAGTTAGTCATTCATTAGCGGACAAAAGGCTGTTTATCGATATTTTAAGCCATTTTCGTGGATATAGACTTTATTTATGAAACTGACCAAATCAAATAATTAAAGAAACATTTCGTACAAGCAACGTTTCATCTTATTTTTGCATTCGTGATAAAGTAACGGTAAACTTATTTATTTATTTAATTACTAGTACAAATTTTTCCAAGTGATTAAAATCTGCACAATGAAATTCACCCTTAACAGTGAATCAGTAGACTTTAAGAATATTTATAAACTAGCATTTAATGGCAGAGTGCCATGAAATTAAATATATACGACATAATATGAGTCAAGATTTATGTAGAAAACGAACCGTAGATGTCTCATAAATTTCCGATCGTGAAAGTAGCGTTCACTTTCATTCATTCCTTCACCTACCTGTTTTAATAACATTTAGTTTTGAATTTTTCAATTTCTGGTAAATTTAACAAAGAGCAATGTTTTTTGTGCCTCTGCATCAAAAAATAACATGGTAAATAAAAGATCCAGCATATTTGTCCTAGTTTTTATGTTTGGACAAATCATTTGTTGAGAGCTGATGAGGAAGCACAATAGGAAAAACTCCCAGGTACGTTCTCAATGTTGAGCAGCGTTTCGTTACTCTTGAGCAGACAAGTAAGTACTCGAGTGTAATCTCAATATAGATAAACACACTTGTAACTAAAAAAAAAAGAAATTTTTTCACACATCGTATTTACTTATTACGTTTTCGATTTTGATTTTTTCGTGTTAAATGCATTGGTATGATCAAAATGATTATTACTTTTTTTTCAATAATTATTCGATTTTTTTGTGCAGTCGAGTTGTAAAAAAATGTTTTGAATTCCAATATTACTTTAGAATTCCACATCTTATTTGTAATGCTTCATATTTAAGATGGTCTTGCATAGTTATTACGTTTGATTATCAAATAAGTACGCACTCCGTCGTATCCGTCAAATGTAATCTGTCGCAATACTAATGTGTACCACCAATCATTAAATTAACAATAATGGATGTAATTGTTTTATTTGATATTACAATTCTCAACTTTGTCCATCGGTTTAGCTTCCGTTACACTGTAACAAATTACATAATTATCGTGTGATGAAATGATACACTTGCTTACGTAATTATCTGCGATTAACGCCAATGAATTCCAAAATTTGCTCTTGAATCAAATAAGAAATATCGTTCAAAATTTTCGTCTTCATACGACTGTTGACTGTTCGTTAAGGTTTGATTGTTTCAAATGTCTGTAATTAGTAGCAAAATTCGAACCTTCTTCTCAAAAACCAATCCCAGTAATTACTGGTTTTATTGGATGATGAGTTTAAAAATCAGATTTTTAAAAAGATTTGCTAACTCGGAATCCGAGACTTTTATTTTTTATCAATACGAGGTAGTATGCAATGATATCCAGAGCAAACGCTCTACATAACGATTTCACCAGCGTTTAACAGCGTTCAAAATCGATTATTGTCAGTTTATTTAACTCATCCTGTAGTATCTAATCTCATTTGCACAGAATTAATTTTTACAGACTACTAGTTAATTAGGCGAACTATACTTGAGCGTATAACCCCAAGGTTACTACCTAACGTAACCAACAGTAAATTAAATTTCAATATTAATTTTAGAATTTTTTTTATTATTTATCAGTATTTGTTGTTAATATTATTATTATTATTAATGATACTTTTAATTATTGAAATTCCTCCCATTAATTTCCTTCATAAGTTGTATAATAAAGTTACGAAGATTATTGAATAGATCAAAGCAGGCAACGCGTTTATTGCAAGCACATGTTTATTACCGTGCAAGGTCTAAGCATTTTTTTGAAAACATATCAAAATTGCTTTGTTTTCTCTCGATTTTTTAAAAAAGTGTCAATATTTTTGTGTCAGACACACAAGTGATAAAATTATATTCCACATATTTGAGGAATATTAAATTATTCTTGTCATCCACTTTCAGGGAGAAAAAATAAAACCGATCGCTCGTGTGCAATATTGCTTTTCAAGTACCATCTAGCTTTATTATATCACTTCTTGACTCACGATTCCCTGAACGCTGTTGAAAAAATGATCGTTACATGCTGGGCAATTAAACTCCTGAACTCTGTGATACCGAACGCGAGTTTTCCTGCCATTTCCCCTCTTGTCTTCTTCTTTCCTTCATTTTGGAAAATAAAAATTAAAAAAAGAAAAAAAAGTCCCGCGAGTAGTGCACTTGGTGGAACTCGTATTAATCATGAGATGCTCACGCGCGGAACAGCCTGTCGGCGTATCGTTGCAGGGATCAAGTCACAATCTTACGCCGCGCTAATTATATGACTTTATGATTATTGTCTATACGTGACGCAATTCGTTGAGCTAAGAATTGTGAATTTTGTAAATCTGTGCATGATCTCCGATTTTGTTTACTTTTCCATCTATTGGCGATTTTGATTTTGTTTTGTTTCAATAATACCTACGTCACTAATACATCGATTAGCTCGCTCACTATCAAAACTCGTTCGAGGTGACGATGTTTACGAAAATTTGTGTATTTTTTGTTTTTTCCTCATTACAATTTCGATAAAGTAGCTCAAACTGAAAATAAAATCTCTAAAAAAATAGGTTATCAATCGGAGAATATGTACATTTTTAATTTTAATTAATATTAAATTAACGCGACTCAACGGATTATTTATGAATTTTTAATTAATTAGTTTTTAAAAATTCAAATACTTAGTTACAGCCTGCATAATATTTTATCCGAAAAAAAATTTATTTATTTCTTGTAACTCAAAATTGTTGCGTTTGTCATAAAATATCTAATAAAAAAAAGGCAGTAAAAAAATTTTCTGAATAAATAAAAAACGATTTTACCATTTAGAATTTTAGAGTGACACTGCAGAGAAAAATTGATGAACTACAGGTATATTTCATTAGGTTTCAAAACTTTTGCACATAGTACATAGTTGTAGAAGTTCCATCGACAATGACGTAGCGAAAAAAACTTTTTATTTTTTTCGAATCGCAGCAGTAAAAGTCGATGTAAAAGTTTTGTCAACTCTTTTCTCTTTGATAAAACATCAGGTTCTAGTATAAAAAGAAAATTGTCCACCAATTTTAAATTGGATGTAAATTACCCGAATCAGCCGGAAACTTGATTACATTACCTACATCCAACACACATCATAATTATCAAAGTATCAAATAACATTTACGATGTAGTAGAAAATTTTTTTATCTTACGACTAGTATAAACTTGTGGGTGGTTACACTATTTGTCCCCACAAAGATGTAAAACACCACCGCGGAACAGTCCTGAGAAAAAAGCAAACGGTGAATGAAACCATTTTACAAACCCAAACAAGACGAAAGAACTTTTTATCCAAAGTAGATAAAAAAAACTATGACATGTGGTCTAGCCAATGTGTAAAAAAAAAATGTTCTGAATAAGAAAGAGAACCTCGCGTTATATCAGTGGTATTAAAGTGTTTATAGCCAATTCACGTGATTTTACAATTGATACTTAGTAGACGATTTAGGTGTACGTACGTTTCCGCGTCTTATCAGCAAGCTCTAGTGGAATTTTTGACACCGCGTGCTCGCATGCGCGTCTTAGTTTTGAAAAATCACTCGAAGTAAGTAACACGACTTGGGTTTGAAAGAAAAAAAAAATATTAATGTCCCTGGAGGAGGTGAATGGAAAATTTTTCTTTTCCACGCAATCAATCGTTTGACAAATGATTTAGGAATCTACCAAAGTAGATTATTACTGTAAATTTATATTTAATGCATGATGACTCAATAAAGGTTGTAATTGCTTATTTGAAAAAAACATTCAAAAGGTTTTGTGCGATTTCCGATCTATAAAAATTCGAATCCGGAAGTTTTAATTCGGTTCCTTGATCATTTCTGTAAATATAAACGCAATCAAATTTGTTCCTGGATCATTAGAATACCTACATAGTCAAATTTTTTTCTGGCCATATTTTCGTGCAATATTTTATCTGATATACTTTATCCGATCTTCGAAATGTCATTTGCCCTTTACGGTAGCGCGCTAAAAAAAAAAAAAAAAAAAAAAATTGATTACTGTTCGTTGACACGAAGTAATGAAATTATTTTAGAAGAAAAATCTCGAATTTCTCAGTTTTTTCTCATATAGTACTGGTACTAACAAATACTGTTCGAATGGAAGGATCATGAGACCAATGACCGCTTATTTTCTTTTAAAAGTTTCAATTCATTGTTTTCTTTCAACCAGAGTTGATATAAATTCTAGTGAGAACAAAAACTAGTAGTTAAAACATTCATGTTATTTTTTAGATACATACCAGTAAAAAATTCAGTGCCCCGGATTATTCAATTGATGTAGTGTAAACCGAATTGACTGTGCTTCCTAATGATTATAGGGTACAAATTCGCCCACGCTTTCCATTGACCCGAGAACCAATTCCGTGATTTTGATAACTAACTTGATAATGTCTATCATTCCCACGTTACGATTGTCATCTTCATTAATGATCAACCGAAAATAATTATCGTCCATCAGTTGCTTGAAAATTTTCATGCCTACAAAAACGAGGTAAATATGAAAAGTAAATTACTCTCGCAACTAGTTTCTACGTTAGATTTGAAAAAACAATCGTCATAAACACGTAAGTACAAGCACGATAAACCAATAAAGCATGAAGTTGACACTTTGTACTTGTAGTAAACATGATATCGGATTATATACTGTGTACGCACCGGGTAACAATTTATTTATTTTTGTTTTTTTTTCCTTTTTTTTTTTTTTTTGTATTACCAATGTCATTTTAATCACCACCTGCGCCTACAAAACTGTTTGTAAAATCAAAAAAATGAAAGCTCGGCTGCATATTAGAGTCGGTAGATCGGCGTCGCAACCCACGCTATTGACAGCGAAACTTGTACCGGAAGCGAGAAAAGAAAAAGAAAAAGAAAAAAAAAACACCCACGCATTGGCATTAATCACCAATTTCTAAAAAGCAGATGGTAAACGTCTAATATTTGTTGACTAAGAAGACGACGGAGAAGCGGCTTTTCTCCCCCTCTGGCGGCGATAAGACTCGCTCACAAAAGCGCGAGAGAAGAAGCGAGACACCACCGCTTTTGACGCGATAAGAAGATAACTCGGCCCGGTTTTTTTTTTCTCTCTCTCTCTCTCTCTTGCCTCTCTGTCCCTCTCGGTTTGGTCGGCCAAGGGGGAGGAGGAGGTCAAGAGGTCAAACTTACGTATGTTCGGCGAGAGACCGAGCACTGATAAGAGCCGTAATCGTGGGGGACGAGGGAAAAGCGGAGCCTGCATATAATGTGATTTCGCGCAATTTGGACCGAAAGAGGTGGTGTGCTCGTGTGCGTGAGTGCGCGGCTCGGGCAAGCTTAAGTTCGAACAAACCGCGGGCGGCTCGCTCAGTGCCGCTCCGGCGTCTTAGCTCAGCACCTCGACTGGGAACTCACATCCGAATCGTTGGGTACATATTATATACACTACACCGCACCACGTTGCCCACGAGAGAAGGACACGCAGGTTCGCGGCTGTCATGGGCCTCTAGTCCATAAACCTGGTGGCCGTTCCCGAGGAGCCGCTGATCATCCACTGTTTTTCTCCGTCGCACGTGCTGGAAATCTTCGCGAAGGACTGTCTTTTCATCACCCTCTTGACTCTCCGATTGACCCCCCTCGCAAAAAAAATATATACATATAAAATAAAAGCCGAGCTGTTCACTTTTTTGCTCGTATGAACGATAGTAACAACAATTAAAAATGTCTCGGACAGAGTCGAGAAGTTACACGTCTAACGGCAGCATGATCGTCGTGAGCAACAGGTTGCCCTTCGTCCTCAAGAGGAACGACGTCACGGGCAAGCTCGAGCGCAAGGCCAGGTAAGCTCATTAAATTTTCTCTTAAAACTACCATGCCATTTTGGGAGTAAGTATGTTTATTATTAGTTGTGGATTTATACCAAGAGCACCTTTTGTCGTGTGCCCGCACGTTTCAAGCGCCAAGTTTGAATCGCCGCGTCGAATGTGCGTCATATCCACGTGCGTTTTCCGCGCGCACAGCTGACTCGGCCTCTCTTTCTCTCTCGCTGCCGATATGACTGGCTCTGCCGGCTTAATTCATTGACCGGCGTTTCTTTCTTTCCTTCCTTCTTGTATAAGCTAGATAAACGAGCTCTTTCTCCGTCTCGCGTGCCCTCTCTGTGTCTGCGTTATATACATATCTGATTGAGAAACGGTCAACAGCTGATTTTCAGCGGTGCTTGCTTTGGGTATGCCGGAAAACAATACTTTTTTATCATTATTGCTATTTTTTATTTTTTTTTCAAACAAAAGTGTGGTATTATAAAAATTAAAAAAATGTTGCAAAGTATAATAATATGATTGTACTGGCATCTATGTCTATCACGTATTTACTTAATATCCAAGTTAACTAATTGAATTGATAACACGTTTATTATAAATGCTGTCGGGTTATAAGTACATAATATATTGTTAAAGGAATGATTTTTTACAACCAAGATAACCCAGTGCATGTTAATGATGTTATTGATCTTAGATCATGATTTTTGAATTTCGCGTTTTGTCAAACTTGTTTTAACACTAAGCTTTTTCCCCCCCGGGGAAGTAAAAACTTTTTTTTTTTTTTTTTCGCATGCGTGTAAAAAGATACTGGCTTTGATATGTAAAATCTTAACTGTCTAACGAAATAGTGTTTGATTAAAAAATTAATGAGCAATAATAGGAATTTTTTTTGAAATAATATTTAAATAAATCAAGTATTTCTTTTTCTTTAATTTAAAAACTCAAAATTAATACATTTTTTGTGGAAAATGTATACATCAAAAATAATCTTACGAAATTTCAGGAAATCTCTGGAGTTTGAGAAACTTATATTTTTTTTATTTGGGCTTTTTTTATAACGTGTTTTTTTTCTTACTAATCTAATCATGAAATTAGCATGATTTATTATGAAAACAGTAATTTTTTATTTTTGCCGATATCAAATTTGATTTTGTCCATCAAAATTGAGAGTTTCTCAGTATTACCACATTTAAAACTAGGCAAGACAAAGAAAAAAAAAGTTTTTTTACTGATTAGATCTTTCGAAAAGCGTGAATCTTTCGTGTTAAGACTTGAATTGAGTAATGTTCGGATTTACTTATCAGCAAAGTATCAATCTTCACAATAATAAATGATATAATGAACGTTGAAAAGATTTTTAACTTTGTTTTGTTTAACTACAACTGTGTTGAACGGCCAAATTGCTTATTTACTTCATGAAAACTTACTTGTCAATGACTTTTATTTTAGAGCTTCAACATTTGAAGTTAAAATTAATTTATTAATAAAATGCGTACTGCCTGTTTTCAAGTATTACATTAGTAATCATTGGAAATATTTTTCCTACCTCGGGCGTTTTTGGGAGGCTGGTGTACCCTCGGTAGAAAAAATACGATAAACGCCATCGCACTGCTGTATTAAATAACCGCGGAGACGATGGCATTTGTCCGATGAAAGCTACCATTATTAATATATCAGCATTGTTTTTGTCTGCAACAGTAGAGCACCTCCAACAGCTGTATAGATATTAGCGAGATAAAAAAAAAGGAGAAAAATTAAGACAAAAGTATTTTGTTTTCAGAGCCTTGAATACGACACGATAAGTCTCTGGTTATACTCTGTTCTTTCTTATTCCCTCTTTCTGCATCTGTTATCGGGTCTAATTGTATTTCTTCACTTTTAACTTCTTGTCTTGTACTTTATCGAGAAGTAAAAAAAAAAAAGAAGTCAATACGTCATGTGTGTGCGTCAAAACTTACTGATTTATTAAAAAACAGACAGCGCGCCGCCTTTCGTTTTTTTTACAGTATCTGGCACAGACTGATACATTTTATTTTATTTTTTTAGTCACGTACACGATACTTTATTTTTCTCATTATTTTCTTTATACTTTTTATTCAAACGTTATCATATTATGTGTTGAAAGAGATGATACTGAAGAAAAAAAGCAGTGAGAAAGTAACCAAATGATTATTTCGTGAAAATGTGTAAATGCTGTAACTGATTTCTTCATCATGATTTTAGAAGTCTTTTCGCAACTGCAATGAAAATTCGTCCAGCAGGTGTATTGTACAAGATACCAAATTACTATGAACATTTTAAGCCAAGTAGCATTAGAATTAAGCAAGATAAATTTTTCATTACAAGAGATTTTAGAAAATTAGAAAAAATTTCGAGTTTTTTTTCAAAAGAAAAATTAAGTCTTATTTTAATACACTCATATTTTTTTGTGTAATAAATTTTATAATTGAAGACAAATTTATTCTCATACTTTTAAAGATACTTAAAAAAAGAAAAAAAAAATTTTTTTTCGATTACACCTTAGAAAAACGTGTATTTTTTCAACCAGAATTTAGATAAAAGTAAAAAAAAACTGTTCGTATTTCTGTATTCCCATAGTTTCTTTAGAATTTTATCTATTAAAAACGTAAAAACAATTTATACTTGATTATGAGAAAATAAAAATATACTTATTAGTGGACCACAGAACGTATCTTGGAAACACATACAA